ACACTTGTACGGCTGGCACGTGTAAAAAAATATTAAAGACCAAATGCACAAAAAAATATATATTAAGGATTAAATGTATACAAAGTGAGAAATATATTACCCTTTTAAGTTATTTTTTTCGATTTACTTGCAATAGCCGGTAAAAATGATTAAATATATACAATTAAACAAGTTGAAGGGGTAAATATGGACGAAACATAAACTTAATGACCAAATATGTACAAATTGAAAAATATATTACCATTTTTAGTCATTATATATATATATATATATATATATATATATATATATATATATATATATATATATATATATATATATATATATATATATATGAAAAGTGGTTTGCATTATAACATTATTAAAATTAAATCTCTAACTTGATTAACTTTCTAAGAATTTTGAAATTTCACTATTATTTTTATGTTACATCATATCTTTTTGTTAAAAACTTAATAAACTATATATATTATAATTGAAAATGAAATTTATGTATGATGAAGATAATGGTGAAATTTATAAAATATTTGTAAGTAAATCAAGTTAGAAGTTGAATTTTAAGAACTTTGGACAATTACAATGCATAGATGATACAAAACAACGTAGTATGATAATTTGGATACTAAATTCATATACCTTTAGGGATATATTTACACATATACCTTTAAGGATATATTCACATATATACATGTACATGTACATGTACATATACATATACATATATAGATTAGTCGCTCACTTATAGACTTTTTCTTCTCGGTTCTCACCAGCTGCCAGCTGCCAAATAATCTACCAAATGGTCTTAAAATGTACTTACTAGGGGTGAGCAAAAACCTAACCGCAAACCGAAAAAACAACATAAACTGAAACCGTAATAAAAACCGACGGTGCGGTTTTTAATTTTGCAAAAACTGAAAATGTTTGGTGCGGTGCGATTTCTAGTCTTGCAAAAACCGAACCGCACCGCGCGCGCACACACACACACACACACACACACACACACATATATATATATATATATATATATATATATATATATATCTATATTAAGTATTGATATTTGTAAGAACGAAGAACTCGTGAAAATTAAATTTTTTATAAATGTAAATATTTATCTTATCAGATGATATATATATATATATATATATATATATATATATATATCTATATATATATATTAATTATTGATATTTGTAAGAACGCAGAACTCGTGAAAATTAAAATTTCTATAAATATAAATATTTATTTTATCAGATGATGATTGTATATTTTTAAACATATATTTAGTGATATTTATAAGAACAAATAATGATTATGACATTTTTTAACATTTAAATATGAAGAAACTATCAATGATAGTATCATTTTTATGAATATATTAGTTGATATTGTCTCATGTTAATGTGGAACATATATTATATTTAATTCATATTATATTCAAGCATTAAAAGCATGTTGGATGAATGATTATGTCATTTGATTTCAAATCAAGAGGTGATGGTATCAAAAAAACTGAACTGCAAAAAACCAAAAGGCAAAAAAATAATAATAATAATAATAAAACCGACAAAAAACCGCAAAAACCAAACCACATAAAAACCGAACGGTGTGGTTTCTAAACTTCAAAAAACCGAAATTGCGGTTTTCGGTTCGGTTTTAAGCAAAACCGGCATCATATTCACCCCTAATACTTACCCAACCCATAAGAGGGTACTAGAAATATGATGCCCCCAGCCCATTGCTGCGCTGGGCCATGGCACAAGTAGCCCTCCCCTTGTGCCTTGATTGGTACGCTTTTATCTACCCATGGGTAAGGGGTTGGTGTCGTTTGAATGCAAATTTTCCAATGCTGACTATTTTGCTAAAAATCAGTCAATACTGAAAGAGAATGTACTGGCTTAGTTCGCATATTTGTCAAAATGCGTGATTGGGACATTAGTGTCATTAAGCTAGCTAGCTCTCTGATTGTGTGGAGATCAAATAAAAACTCACTAACCGTTGTAGCTTATTTGCTTCTTGATCGTGCCTGATATTTTATTTCTTTGATAATCCATCATCATCAGCGAAGCTTTGTATCAATCCTGGTCCTGGACGAGACCACTAAAAAGTGATTTGAAAGAAAGTGCTTTTAACGCCAAGGAATATGAAGGTGATGACGAAGCTATAGAGAAGTTGGAAGAGAATCGATGGTATCACAAACTCAAGAAACTTCTACACGTCTTTAATATTAAGAAGCGAAAAGGGCCAACAGATCCTTTGGTTAAGGGATTGTTGATGTAGTTCCACACCTTGCAGTTGAGATAAAATATCGATGATGACGCTTTCAGCCTTTCATGAAATGGGTTATGTAATTCACTAAATTGTAATATGTTCATGAAACTTTATTTTTTTGGTATTTGACGCAATGTTTAGTAATATGGTTACTTTTACTTTGAATTAGTTTTAAAAAATTTGTAAAACAATTAACTAACAAAAAAAAGTAATTAAGTTGTTTTTTAATATATATATATATATATATATATATATATATATATATATATATATATATATATATATATATATATATATATATATATATGGAAAAGTGAATATACCCTTAAGGGTATATAAGCTTATGTACCCAAACACACTATAACATGTCGTTTTGTTTGATATATTCATTATAGTGTTCTTAAACTTCAACCCTCAACTTGATTTACTTTAAAGATTTTCGAAATTTCACTATTATCTTTCTTTTACATCACATATTTTTGCCGAACACCTACTAAGCTATATATATTGTACTTGAAAATGATAATTATGTAAGAGGAGATATATGTGTAATTTATAAAAATCATTAAAGTAAATTAAGTTAGAAGTTAACTTTTAAGAACATTGGGACAATTAGAATGTATTATATGATACTAAACAACGTAGCATAGTGAGTTTGGGTACGTAAGCTTATATATCCTTAAGGGTATATTCACTTTTCCATATATATATATATATATATATATATATATATATATATATATATATATATATATATATATATATATATGTATTAATGTGTTTCTTATATTTATTGTGTGCTAGAATGCACAAATAAGAATATAATAAAATTAAATAATTATTTAATTAAATAAAGATAGATATTAAATGATTTCCATAAATATATGTATATTAAATGATATCCATCGTCATAAATCTTTTTTTTTTATGGAAACTAATTAAATTCGTCATTAATGTCAGCAACAATATTTTTTCAGAATAAATTCGCAATTAGGTTTTCATGTATGGGTTCGTGTTTTGTTTATGGATCCACTCAGTTAAAATGCAACAAAGTTGCATGGAATATGAAGAATAATCGTGTATTCTACTAGAATACACTCTCATTCTGTTAGAATATACTCTTATTCTTTTCACATTTTTTTCTTTCTGAATATGATTTCCATGTGAGTTTACTTTGAAAAATTCTTTTCACTTTCAAAATATATCAACATCTACTTGTCTCTGACTACACTGGTCACACAAGTAATTTCTGTTACGATTACCTTATGTTTATGATGATATGTAATGAAATTTTAAGCTACCCACGAAGGCTATCAAAACATGCCCTTCGAAACTTATCAACAAGTTATCGATTGTATTTCACGGGACAATACGCAAGCTGTTGATTATCTCTCTTGATAATTAATGAAGCAACCTTTGCCTGGGGTTAATTTGCCTTCGTGTCAAATTTATTTTTGACATCACAACTTTCCAAAGTTTTTTAATTTGCTTCTGATCTTATTTCTTTGACACAATGCACACACGAAATCCTTCAGGTTCCGAGTAATACCAACTTAGGCTAATGATTTCGAAACTCTGGCAAATGACTTTACTTTAATCCCAGAAGTAAAAGAGCCTAACCTCCATCCGAAGGGTTCTAACGGTTACTATTCCATTGAGGTCATCAATACAGGCTGTTTGAGAAGATGTTTTGTATTCCTTCCGCTTTTCAAGGTGATGTGATAGTTACTTTTTGAAGCATGGTAACCTTGTCATCATCATGGTGCGCTTTTTCCGGTGCCACATCTGCATGCATTCAATGCGCATCCCGCTTTGATTTCAAATTTCAGAGTTACATATAAAAGGGGATACCAGGGGGATTCATCAGTTTACGCTTACATTATCTCAAATTACTCCGTGCAACTTAAAATTCTCTCTGTTCTTCATCTTGTTCAAAACCCTAAAAATGGCGAATGTGGAGAATGTTGTGGCTGAACCTTCACACACCACATAAGATGTTACTTCATTACCAATCATGAAAATCCAAGGAACAAATTATCAGGTGGAGTCAAATGTATCGTTATATCCGGAAGAACTGAAGATGCTGATTGTTGCTCTGCAACACCCTATCCTGTCTAAAGCCATGTTCAACTCTTTTGCAGTTCCTATTTCCTGGTTATCACAAGCAAGATCAACTGCTACTTATTCAAAGGCCTTGGATGTGGTTACATTTAATCTAATCAACGATAAAAAGGTTAGGTTAACCCAAAAGCTTTTCTGCAAAATCCTTGATATCCCAAACTCATCTCCATTTGTGTCATTCACTTTTCCCCAAATCGTCCACATGTTTAATGAAATGGTACATCAACCGCAGTTAACCAAAATTAGAGATTTCAAGAAATCAGGACTTCTTTGTGTGTGGAACTTTCTTTTTGGTATTTTTCTTCGGTGCTTGACTGGCCGAACGGTGGGGCTTGATAAGGGCCGAATGGAGGTATACATTATGGTAGCAAGGCTATACTACGATCTGAAAGCGGATTATTCAACTCAGTTATGGAAGGAATTTCAAAAGAGTATCGAGCATACGAATGTTGTTCAGGGCTAGATACTGGAGCCTGATTTTACAATTTTTCTATGAAAAAGATGGGATATTGGTACCAGCTGATGAGGAGAAAGCTGTGTTTCATACATACCATTGTCCAAAGGATGCAACGGATGAATTTCCGTTTGCAGCACGTATTCCTGATGTGATGCTCAAGAGAATTGATCCTTCAAATCCTGTCTTGGTTTCGTATTTAGCAACCATTGATTCTTCTGTGGAAACAGGGATTCTTCTACCACCGACATCCGCGAAGAAGTCCAAGAAGACGAAGAAAACTGATGTTGGGTCTTCGGATGCCAAAGTCACATCTGCGAAGAAAACAAAGCAAGTTCCAGTGATTGAACCTGAGCCAATTCAACCAGAGCTTGTTGTTCCTGATACCCAAGTTATTGAAACCGAAGTAATTCCTTCGAAGACTGGGGTATTCAGATGTATTAAAATGAAATCGAAGACCAAGAAAAGATCATCAGGTACGAAGGTGGTTCGTAAACCACACGTTTCTCACCAAGGAGTAATTTTTAGGGAAGTTACTGCTCCTGTTCCTCCTTCAACCAAGAAGAGGATGGCTGCAGATATGGCTAGACGTCTTTCTCAGAAGAAGAGGCGGAAGTTGATCATTTCTTCTGATTCCACAGCCGATGATACCGAAGTTATTCCTGAGACTCCTGAAGCCACTCTCATTATTGATTCTTCTAAAGCTGATGCTTCAGTAACACAACCATCCGAAGTTTTGATAGCCAAGACAATTCCTGTGGAGGATCGAACTTCAAACATCACTGTAAATATATCTGATATGGGTAAAAATTTCATCATCGGTGTGGATATTGTGAAGACTGAAGCTCAAGGTATCACTTCGACCATTGTTTCGGATTATTTCATTTCACTACCTTCACAGATCACTCCTATTATTCCAACCACATCTACCACAGATTCTCCAACCTTTACTCATATTATTTCACATCCATTCACCACTCTCTTTTCTTCACAATCTACTGATCCACCAACCACCACATCCCCATTGAAAGATTCCTTCGAACACACTTAAATTGAATATGAAGAGTTTGGAGGCACTTTTGATAATCTTGTGTTTGATGATGAAGAAACTGAGTTTCCGGACCACATGCTAATGATGATGAAACAGTTTAAGATTTTGAATACCAAGCTTAATACTATTATTCATTCTCAAGCTGACATTGGGGGAGGTCATGCTGTGTCAAGTTTAGAAGTTGATGGAATGTTAGCCTTACTTAAAGGAAGGTTAACAAACAAAGTTGCTGAAATGCTTAAAGACTCTGAGTGTCGTTTAATGAAAAAAAATTGATCTTTCTGATCAAAATAATGAGTCCAGAATAAAGTCAGCTAGGTCAGATTTCTTATACAACCTAAAAGATTTAAAGCTGGTGGCCAAAGAAAGACATGTGTTTTTTGTTCAGGATGTGAAGAAGGTGAGAGAAGATGTTAATTTCAAAATTCAGGAATTGCATGAAGATATGGAGAAGGAACTTACTGTTGTTCGTACTGAGTTCTAATCCATCAACAAGAAGGTGGATATTATATGCGAAGCTGTAACAAAATTTGCAAAGCTCTACGAAAGTCTGAGTCCTCAGATTACTTAGCTTTCGACTAATGATAACAAAAATTTCCTAGAAGTTTTTGAACTTCTGAAAGAGCTCAAGAGTTTATCTTCCAAGACTGCTTCGTCTATATTATCTTCGGAAGATTTAATACAAAAAGTTTTCAAAGTTCGAAGAAGTGTTTAAACAACAATTGGCTCCTTTGTCTCGAATCTCCAGTCTTCTTCCGACAACATATACCCCACCTGCTAGCACAAGGGTGCAAGGGGGAGAAAAGCTCATGACAGGGTCGAAGACTGAAGGTGATTTGAAGGTTGTTGGGAAAAATTTTTCTGCGCAAATTCCATCATCAAAACCAACAATTTCTACAGCTGGTCCAATTACTTCGATAGTGGTGATGACTGTACCAATTACAAGACCGAAAGGAATTGTGATTGGTAGAACTACTGATGTTGGAGGGAGTGGTTCCAAAGCTAATATTGATGAGCCGAGTGCAAACTCAAAGGGGAAAAGGAATTTTTGTGGAAAAATGTAAGGAGGAGAAGAAGGCTGAGGCAGATGCAGAGGTTAAGAAGATGAGGATAATACAAAGTATCATGACTCAAAGAGCAAGTGACCCTCCTAGTTTGAACAAGGGTGATCCTATGAAGCACTATAACTATGAAACGATTGAAGCCTTAGTTGCTTTCAATCACATGTATGCGTTTGAGAAAAATCCCAAGCAAAGATACATTGTTACAAATATAGATTCAAACCAGTTAGATTTTCCTATCAATGAAATGATGTTCATCATGCCACAATTCAAGGCTGAGAGCAAATTTAAAGAAAAGGATGAGGGGACGCACATGAAGATAAGATTTCATGATGTTCTTGCTAAGTCATCTAAAGAAGTATGGTCTTTATTGAAGATTAAGAAGGTGATTAGCATAAAGAAGGATTTTATTTTTGAAGACACAGTCCAAAATCTAAAGTATGTTGTGATGAGGGCAGATGGAAAGATATGTGAATTCACTGTGGCTGACTTTCCATTGATGAACTTGTATGATCTTATACAAGTTGCATTGATTCTGAGGGAAAGGAAATTTTCGTATTTGCAAAATACTGAGCCAGATGAGTTTAAACTTGGAGTAACTCACATCAAGATCTTTATTGAAAATTACTATGAATGTCTTGCTATGACTGATGTGGAGTTAGCGACTGCAAAGGGTTTGGAAGTTAAAGCTCACATGAATCCTACGAAGACTCAAGCAGAACTTAAAAGATATGCTGACAGAGAAATCTGCTTGAAACCCTTTGGGTTAGTCTTTTCTGGGAAGGATAAATCGGGAAAACGAAGAAATTTTTGTTTCAAGCTACAGAGGTGGAAAGATATTCAACTTCGCAATATACGAACTTAGTTGTTCGTATGAATCACTGCAAGAAAAATAATGAGGGTGATAAGAAGGAACTGAAGAAAATTATTAACTGGTATATAGAGATACGAAGGTTCATGCTTTATTCAATTCAAATTCTTACCAATTAAAGACTTCGACTTTGATTACAAAGGGGGAGATTGTACGGTTGAATAGTGTTGTAATAAGTCAAAGTTTTGTGTCTTCGTATGTTTAGTCTTCTTTCATTATGTAATGTATTTCTCTAAGGCATTGTATTCGAAACTTAATGTTTAGTCCTTAGAATATTTTTTGTATGTTTTTCCTCTCCTATAAATAGGAGTGTTTACTAGAGTCATAGGGACGAGGTCTTTACAGAATATTCATTTGTACTCTGTAAATCTTGAGAAGCGTAATAGAGCTGAATCAGAAATTATATTTACATCCGTGTTCTAATCTCGTAAACAACTGTTTGATCATTTGATGCTCTGATTGATTTCATACTCGATTCTTTGATTCAACAAGAACTTATAATATATTAATAATCACAAGTGTACTTTCTCTCATTTTGTCTATCCAAGTATTGCAATGCCATGCAACCCAAATGGACCATGCCGGGTCGGGTCAAGTACATACCAAATAAAGTTATGGACTTAGGCACTATATCCAACAGTCTCCCACTTGGATAAGTCTAATAACTCTATTTGTAGATATGACTTCAGAATCCGACTAGCAATCGTAGGTCTTTCAAAGTCTCTTGGAACTGAGATGATGATGATACGCCATTTAAGATAAGTGATCATATAATCCTCTGCTCTCAAGATATCAGACGGACAAACACATGGAAAATGGTCTTACTTATTTTCCAACATTTGTTTCTCGGTCTCTGATTTGTTTCGACATAGAACTAAATTGAACACATCAATTCGGTTCTGACCAGTCCCGGTACATAAGTTAAAACCAAATCATTGAGGGGGCCATATATCGCTTCTATTTCTAGAAGGAACAGATAAACTTCGACTGATATGCTTGTACTAACTACTTGTTGAATTATACAAAAATGCCCATTTTATAACATCGAGTTACAAATGCGTTTTCGTACAATCAATGAATAACCAACTCATAGTCAACGACTCATATCTCTAGGTTTGAAGATTTATATGATATTACCATCTCACGATCACTCGAGATAAATTCCATGAAGTGATGCAAGTGAGCGTGGGTTGAATCCAATACTCAGGCCTTATGAGTATTCATGAATGTTGTAGCAACCATTGCTATGTCTAATGCACCTTAGACAAATCATACAACCCAAATTCATGACAGTCTTAAATCAATACCTACTTCCAAAGTTTGACTGACTGTGGAAAGTTTGAATAATAACACAATTATTCTGGAAGTCAAAACATGCAAAATTGAAACATAGTAAACGATCAACACAAGATAGTAACACTTTACTCATAAATAAATAACAACTTTTATTTAATCATCAAATGTCAAGTACATTTTACAAGTTTCAGAAATCTAATGATTGAAACTAATATCATCCTTCAGCCCAATGCGCCTCGCATGCTGTAAATGCTTAACCCTACTCAGTCCCTTCGTGAGGGGATCTGCTGGGTTCTCATCTGATGATACCCTCTTTGCCACAAGGGTTCATTCTTCTATTCTATGTCTGATGAAATGGTATTTTCTGTCAATGTACCTAGATCTTCCGTGATCTCTTGGTTCTTTAGCCAAAGCAACTGCACTTTCACTATCACAGACGATTTCCATTGGCTCCTTTATAGCTGGTACAACTCCAAGGTATACGATGAAGTTCTTTAGCCATGTCGCCTCTTTGCTGCCTCGCTTGCTGCTATGTATTCTGATTCACAAGTTGAATCAGCTACTGTCTCCTGCTTGGAACTTTTCCAAGTAATTGCTTCTCCATTTAGGATAAAGACCCAGCCTGAATGAGAGCGGAAATTATCACTATCAGTCTTAAATCTAGCATCACTAAATCCTTCCACTCTCAAGTCATCACTGCCTCCAAGGGTAAGGACCCAGTCCTTTGTCCTCCGCAGATACTTGAGAATGTTCTTTACCGCTGTCCAGTGTGCCTTGACAGGGCTCCCTTGATATCTACTGACCATGCTCAAAGAAAAAGCCACATTAGGGCGAGTACAAGTCATAGCATACATGATCAAGCCCACAGCAGAAGCATATGGTACATGACTCATTTCAGCTATCTCAGCCTCTGTACTCGGACTCCGAGTCTTACTCAGTTTGGCATTAGTCTGGATTGGTAATTCTCCTTTCTTGGAATCTTGCATACTAAACCTCTTCAGTACCTTATCCACATAAGTACTCTGACTAAGTCCAATTAGTCTCTTACTCCTGTCTCTTAATATCCTTATCCCTAGGATATAGGCAGCTTCCCCAAGGTCCTTCATAGCGAAACACTTCCCAAGCCAAGACTTAACCTCTTGCAAAGTTGGGATGTCATTTCCTATGAGAAGTATGTCATCCACATACAACACCAAAAAGCTAACTATACTCCCACTGGCCCTAACATACACACAGGACTCATCCTCACTCCTAGAGAAGCCAAACTCTCTGACCTTCTCAACAAAGCAAAGATTCCATCTGTGAGAAGCTTGTTTCAATCCATAAATGGATTTCTCAAGCTTACACACTCTATTAGGGTATTTTGGATCGACAAAACCCTCTGGCTGAGCCATGTAAACATCCTCATCCAAATTCCCATTAAGGAAAACGGTTTTGACATCCATTTGCCATATTTCATAATCATGAAATCCAGCTATGGCTAACAACACCCTAATAGACTTAATCTTAGCTACTGGTGAGAAGGTCTCATTATAGTCAACTCCCGAAGTTTGAGTAAAGCCCTTCACAACCAGTAGCGCTTTATAAGTGTGTACTTTCCCATCCATGTCAGTCTTCTTCTTGAAGATCCATTTGCACCCAACTGTCTTACAACCTGGTACATTGTCAACCAAGTTCCAAACTTGATTGTCATACATGGACTGAATCTCATTTTCCATAGCCTCCTTCCATTTTGCAGACTCAGGGCCTGCCATGGCTTCCTTATAATTATT